AAATAAAATATTAAAAAAAAAAAAAGAAAAAGAATATTTCTCTTGCCTACCCTTTAGAGAGGAAGAAACTAAGGCTTACCAAGGTAAGTAAAGCTGCCTATAGTCATGCAGCAAGCTAGTGAAACTGAAATTTAAATTTAATTTAGGTGTGCCTAAATTCAAAGTTCAAAGTGCTGCCTCCTTTGGAGGGAATGATATACTGGAGCCTCAGGGGTGGATTCTGTCAGGGCCAAAGCCAGAAGACAACCTAGGCCTCCTTGACATTCGGAAGGAAAAGAAGTTGAGAGCTCAAAAAGCAAGGTAAGACAAGTGGGTGGCTGAGGGTCCTCTGGGCAGCCCACAGACACTTGACAATTCACTAATCCTTTTCCATGAAGCCCATGCTGGGTGCTAAGGATGCAGAGATTTATCTGTGTCATCCCGGTCTTCAAAGAACTTATAGTTTTCCTTCTATCTTGAGATGTCTGTTTATCAGGGGACTAATTTTAAGGTCTAGAGATCTCCAATGTCCACCAAACCCTCCCCTGTCCAGTGGAAGTTATTCTAATCTAGGCTTTTCAGTCCAGCTAAATAACATCCACCAAATCCTGCCCTTCCTCTGCAACAGAAAAGTGGGAGGGGTAAAAAACACTGTAGAAGCTGCAAAGAGACCCAATCAGTTCCCCATCCAGAACCATCTGTAGTGCACCTGTGACAGAAGCTATACTGGAGGTCAGGAGGTACACAGGACTCTGTCTTGGATTCAAAGGGTTATCTTATGAAGAAAAACAATTAACAGCAGCTAAGATTTAAGAAGATGTAACATATACCTGCACTGTTTTAAGTATTTTACATTCAGTCCTCCCAACTGATCTGTGAGGTATTCGTAACACCAATTATGAGTCATAGAAACTGGATCACACACACTAGTAAGGGCAAGGCAGGATCAGTACCCAAACAATCTAGCTCCAAAAGCTATCACGCTCTTACCCAATGTGCTCTAATAGTGCTAAGTGTCAGCCTTCGGACGGGGCATTCACCTGGCCGACTAAATCAACACTAGATTCCCCCACACTTACTTGTTATCGGTGTGCTGGAAAGGCCATGGACTTTTAACATCAGGTATGGGGGTCAGCTCTAGGCCTGAGAGCAATACACACTGCTCAGCCTCAGCTTACACATTTCTAAATTGGTAATAATAAAAACTGGACTATTCTGAGATTAAATGAGACGATATACATAGTTGGTCTTCAGTATTTGTTTACTCACTGTCAAACTCCATCTTTGTGTTTCAGCTCAGTGTTTTCCTGACTACTTTCTGTCCCTTGTCTACAGGTAGACAGGCAAGGAGGAAAGGGGGACAAGACGAGGAGAGGGAACCATGGCTTCCACTTTCTTGGATTTCCTCTCCAACACTGGACACATCCCTGGAGACTTCCAAAGGCCTCCCTGTCCCCCATCTGCAGAAGCTTCTAGAATACACACCAGAAAGGTGGATGACAGGTTGCTGAACCAAGCAACACATAGATAAAATGCTTAGTAATCTGTACTATTTTAGCAAAAGAAAAAAGAAACAGAAAATTTATTGACAGTTTTGTTCTAAATGCTCACATATAAGATTTCACTTCATCTTATGATTTTAGAAACATTCCAGACATGTCAAACAAACTTTCTTGAACTTAAAAAAAAAAAAAAAAATTGACTAGAGTATATGCTTGGGAGGGAAGTGATGGGGTGGGGTAATTCAGAGAAAAGAAAGAGTACTGCATTTAAAGCAGTTGCTGCTCTCGGCTCCCTCTTCTTGCCTCCGCACCCATGGCCCAGAACCCAGCGTTCTCACCAGGAACCTCAGGTGCTGCTCCTGGGAGGTATATCTGCCTCAGCTCCCCTGCACTCTACCAAAATCACTGCCTCAAAGGCTCTTGCCTTAAAAAAGACTTTCAGTTCGAAGACTATAATAGTCATATTTAATATTTTTCTAATTACTTATTAATAATAAAATACAAGTAAAAACTATGAAAATATTACAAGCATTCCTTTTTTGTTTTACAGTGTTGGGGGAATAAACCCAGGGCCTTGCAAATAACTAAGCAAGCACTCTATCACTAGATTCATAACCAACCCTGGTATATATCTCTTTTTGTGGGCTTTTTTTTGTTTTCTTGAGATGGGGCCTGGCTGATTAGTCTAGGCTAGTCTTTTTTTTTTTTTTTTCCCCCAGGAACCAGGGATTGAACTCAGGCTCTTGCACTTGTCAGGGAAGTGCTTATTCTACTCAGCCATCTCCCTGGCCCACTAGGCTGGTCTTGAACTCACTATGTAACCTGAGCTGGCCTCAAACTACAATGATCCATCTCTTTGAGTGCTGGGATTAAGTGCCTCGCTTATACATATCTTTTAAGATATAAATTCTTATAATCCTTGTGATGACAAAACTGAAATGGTTTTATGAATTCTACTGGTAAACATAATTTATTTTTATAAGGAAAGGCTATCAATGGGCATGGTGGTGCATGCTTGAAATTCCAGTCCTCAGGAGGCTGAGGCAAGAGGACTGGTGCAAGTTGAAGACCAGTTTGGGCTACATAATTGAGTTCAAGGCCAGCCTGCACTGACAGACTCCATACCCAGAGAGAAGCGGGGAGGGATGGAGGGAGGGAGGAAGGCAGAGACAGAGACAGAAAGAGAGAAAAAGGTTCCCAATAAGCCATTGCATCTTATTTGTCAATAAAATGTGAGAAACTTGTCCTAGGATGTAGCTCAGTGGGAGAGTACTTACTTAACACACATGAGGATTATGGTTGACCCCCCAACACTTTAGGGGTCAGGGAGAATCCACAGAAATCTCTATTCTCTGACTAATAACTATTCATAGGAAATGACTTTAAGGAAATTATTCAACAGAAAAGAAAGGGATATAGACAATGGTTCTTGTTATGTAATTACTAAAACTCAAACAAGGAAATAATCTAAATATTCTATGACATTTTCCTACTGGGCCCTATATACTTTGTTTATATTGCATTTTTAATTGATTAATTAATTAATTTGGTGTTGAGGATCAAACTCAGGTCCTTGTGCTTGCCAGGCAGGTGTCTATACTGTTTAGTTATCTCCCTGGCCCGCTTACTGAATTTTAATGATTTATTCAAAAACTCTCACACATGGACAGTAATCCCCCATGAGTGAAGAGTTATCTTTGTCTAAATCCCTGCCATATAATAGAGTATAGGAATTAAGAACAAATATTATTTGTAATGTTAATAAAGTGCATGCATACTGTAGTCTATATTCTCATGGGAATGATTATATAAAACAGAAAACATACAACTCACAGAGCAGTGATGGTGAACCTTTTAGAGACCGAGTGCCCAAACTGCAACCCCAAGCCCATTTATTTATTGCAAAGTGGCAACACTGCAATTAAACCCAAATACTGAGGTTTTAGTTGAGAAAAAAAACAACTGTTATCTGATGCCCTGCTGCTAGGGCAACTTGGCTCACGTGCCACTTGTAAGAGGGCTGTGTGTGCCCACTGTGGCATGTGTACCCTAAGTTCACCACTACTGCATTTGAAGGATCACTGGATAATTTTGAAATTCTTTTAAATATTCTGTAAAGTTCTTTTAGTGCCTTGGAAGTGAAAAAGTGGGGGAAATTTGCTGTTATATGTACCAAATTTGTCTCAGAGTAGGGAAGAAATGACCATTGTGAAAGCTTAATGGGACTGCATTCTTTCAAGAGTAAAAAGACTCCAAATACTTATATATCATGTGTAGTATAATCTGTTGTCAGCTAAAAACTATCTCAAAGAAAGGCAGTATGTTTCAAAGAGAAGGAAAAAATCCTCTGAGCAATCCTTTAGGAAGTGAATGTGCTGATTCCTAACAGCAGGGGGTGCCAAAGGGACCACTATTGTTCCCAGGAGATGGCCAAGAGAAGGGCTCTGGTAACCCCAGTTCGAGCAGCTGAGGTTAGTGTGAAGCCTGAATACGCAGGCTTTCCCTCAACCACGGGACTCATCATGTCCATAGACCTCAAGAGACAAAAGCTACTTTTCTATCTTCACTAAATTTGATATGTAACCTTTCCCTGAATTATAAGCAGAGGCAAGAAATTGCAGTAGTATGCATTAGCACTGTTGGTGATCGTCATGAGCAGAAATCCTAGCTAACGACACAGCACATTACAGTTACTACAAATTTCTCAAATACCATTTATACTCACCACCACCTTGAAACAACAGACTTTCAGAGTTATGGTTCGAACAGCAGCTGGGTCTTGTTATTTACTCGATTCATAAAGCCACATGTGTTACTACATCACATTTAATAAAGTGATGACTTGAAATATAACAGAATTCTTTTATATTCTAGTAAATTTTATTTTATGCACCTAAACACACTTTCCTGAGAAAGGGCTTTTATAGGCTTTACCACACAGGCAAAGGGATAGAAAAGGTTAAGAACATCAGCTCAGTCTAAAGGCAAGCAATCGAGGAAAAATCAAATTTGATCTGAACACAGTTATAGAGAAAGGTATTTTAAGTCACAAGAGAGAAGTGGTCACAATGAACATTTTCATTTAGCTTGAATTCCTTGAAGGAGGAAAATCTACAAGTTAAGCTTTCCAGGTACCAAGTGCACTAGTGTTTCCAGAGGCCTATTTGTAGATATGACATTCAAAGATCTACCTTATCCAATTTGCTACTGCAAAGCAGGCTGCTGTTCACAGCGCAGGCACAAAGGCATGAAATAATGCAAATGTTGTCCCCAACATCTCTCTGGAAGAAATCATTATATGCGGACTCTCCAGAGAGTGAGTATATTCATTTGATGAACAAACAAGATCAGATCTGAAATGCTAGAAGGAAAGGACAAGATACTGAAATAAATAACAAGAGTCAGTACTTACATTCGAACAAAGAGCGACTCTTTGGATGTCAGACCAGGAGATGAATACTTTTCAACCAGGGCCAACGTACTGAAGCCAAACTTATGAATGGGCTCATTGGAATCCAGTGGGGGGAAATCAGTGTCCACCTCCCCATCATCCTCAGCAATATGCAGACAATATGCACTGACATTGTCACTGAAAGGAAAACCAACAAGGTGAGTGAATGTCAAGGTAGGGAGGGCATAAGAAGAACAGAAAATACTATGTACACAAGCAAACTGAGAGCACTGCTAGTCTGCACCCCAAGCCTGTAACAATTAGAACCTCCAAATCCTACTTCAACCAATAGGGAAAGAATATCTGGCAGACCAAAGAAGGAAAAATATATGAAATGGGGTATGTTAATGGTTTCATTGGCTGCTTGACATATACAGTTATTTTTGTGGTACTAAGGATTGAATCCAGAGCCTTTCCACTGAGTTGCTTCCCCAGCCCTCACCCCCTTTTTCGAGACAGGGTCTTACTAAATTGGTAAATTGCCTAGGCTGGGCTCGAACTTGTGATTCTCCTGCCTAGGAGTGCTAGGATTACAGGTATGCATTACCAAGTCCACCTCTACATAGGTTATTTTTATTAAGTGATCTTTTAATCAGAGATCACTTTCAATATTTACTGGGTACCTATTGTGGATTGTATGCAGAACATAATCCTGGAGATCAAAATTAAAGTTCAGTATCATTCCTTTTTTTTTTTTTTTAATTTTTTTTATTTTCTAGGGAAGGGTCTACAGGGTGTTTAGGGTCTCACTACTAGATCAGACTTGTAGTGATCACCACGCTCAGTCTTGGTCACTACCTCAGTGCACCCCAGGGGCAGAGCCAGCACAGCATACCAGGGATCAAACCGCTATCCTTGCATCTGCCTAAGCAAGTGTTTTAGTCTGCTGAGCTATCTAAGCCATTTACTTTTATTCTAAGAATCCATAGTATTTACAGTCGGATCCTACCATGTGAGTTAGTTGCTCTTATAGAAAAGAAAACTGATGGGTAATCCTGGTTGTCTTGCATACTTCTCCTGAAAGACAGTCTCTCAAACCTGTGCATTAATCAGAGGCTTCTGGCTCCCCCTAAATAGTTTTCCTCTATATTTATATTTTTAGCATTACCTAATTATAATTAGGATGGTGCTTACTTCTCTCCCCATACTGTACTGTTTCTGTGCCCTTAGGAATGGTACTGAGGGCTGGCCAAATAGCTCAGTGAATTAAAGCACCTGCAAGCAGGCACTAGGGCTGGGGTTCGATCTCTGGGCCTGCCGTACCGGCCCTGCCCCTGGGGTGTGCTGAGATGGCAATTGAGACTGGGTATGGTGACACGTGCCTGTAATCCCAGCTCTTGGGAGGCTGAAAACAGGAGGATCACTACAAGTCCAATCTGTGTAGTGAGATGCTGTACTAAACACACACACACCACAAAAAAAAAAAAAAAAAATTAAACGGCTTGCTTATTGTGATACAGTTATGGTGCCTCTTGACCACTTTTAGACAAATCCCACATCCTCAGAATACCCAGTTAGCACTCCTAGCCCCTAAGCTTCAGCAGTTTTCAATCAAAACACATCTCCTCTCTCCTCTGAGGAAGTAAAAAGGTGATTTATTAAAACAGGATGGGACCAAGCGCCTGCTTAGGCAAGCACAGGGACTAGGATTCATCCCTGGCACCACCCATGGGTGCACTGAGCCGGCCACCAAGACCAGGTGTCGTGGCACACACCTGTAATCCCAGTACCTGGGAGGCTGAAAACAGGAGGTTCACTATGTGCCAAGCTGCATAGTGAGACCCTGTACCAAATACCTAAATTAAAACAAAAACAAAACAAAACAAAACAAAACAACAAGAAAACAGGGTGGGAGACTACCTTAGCATATAAACAGTTTAAAATTAAAATCAAGTTAAGCACATTAAGATACCCTGCTCTAAAGTTGAATTGTGAAACTGCAGATCTGCTAACATTCAAAAGCATCCCAGTTTGGAAAACAACCTAGTAGTTTAGAAGGCACTAGACTTCTAAATTCTGTAGCTTAAATTTAGAGTTTTAATTACATGATTGATGCTTAAATTAATTAATTACAAAGTGTATGCTAATTGTTTAATTGGTTGCTTGATCTATAGAGAGCATTTTTTGAATTAAATGAGTTGATTTACAAAGTTTATTGATTGGATGTGACAATGAATTATTTCACTGACTACCTGATTTGCAATTTTCCCAATTAATTCACAAATCTTTAGCTGCAACTCTGCTTATTGAGAGAGCCTACTTCAGGTGATCTATACTCAGTGAGTTTGTCATGACTAGGAGATATTTATTATAGTAAACAGGTAACAGAAACAGATTAAAATTAATGGAAACTGTAAATTTGCTAAATGGATGGATAACAAGAAAGTAATCTGGCTATATTTGTCACTATAAATTTTGTATATTTGCAGTGCTGTTAAGAGATTTAAAATTCATGTCTGAATGCTACAGGACACTTTTGGATTTTTGGAGCAGGGTACTAAACTGACTACAAAACAATTGTGGAAGCAGAAGAAAGTACTTCAGATGATGAAGATGTCATGGTATAGTGCTAAAAGCTTTGTCGTCAGAAAGACTTGGGTTCAAATCTCAGTCCCATGCTTCATGGGCAAGTGATTTCAGATAACACACTCCCCCTGCAGTTTCAAATTCCATGTCTATAGAAAGGGTGTAATTACTTACTTTGGGAGTTGTAATGATCGCAAGAAATAATACATGCCGTACTTAGAATATAAGAGAAATAAAAAACAGTAAAGTGACATTAATAATAAAATCAAATGGAACCATTACAATACCTAAATTGTGGCCACATATTAGAGCAATAAAACAAAACTGAGCAGCTCATCAGACACACACATACTTCTGTAACTGGAGTTAACACATGCACTATGCTCCAGCCTTGGGGCTGCAAAGCCACGAGGGTTTTAAGGAGAAGGAAGACATTGATGGGACAAGCAATAGACAGCACAGATTATTTGTTGCCATGTAAATTAACCTGAGAAATGACTATGATCCCTCAGCATCACCGAAGTTCAAGGCCAAGTAATAAGTCTATTGATTAAAACAGAAAGCCAAATTCTGATATCAGAAGAATTCTGCTTTAATTGTCATGGGATGCCCTCAAATCTCCTCAAAACAAATTCAACTAATGTCACAGGATCAGATCTGAAAGCCACGAAAGGGCTCACTGCCAAGTGCTATTTTTTTCTCTCTAGTTTTTTTTTTTTTTTTTTTCCCTGTATTTTAGAGAAGGGTCTACAGGGTGTTCAGAGTCTCACTACTAGATTAAACTTGTAGCGATCCACCTGTTTACAGTCTCCCAAGTGCTCGAATTACAGGCGCGCACCACCATGCCCAGTCTCAATTGCTGTCTCAGAGTGCTCCAGGGGCAGAGCCAGCACAGCAGGCCTGGGGATCAAATCCTGGCCCTTATGCCTGCTTGCAGGTGCTTTAATCTGCTGAACTATTTGGCTGGCCCTTCTAGTTCTTAAATATAAAGTTTGAAATCATTCATTTCAAAAACATCTGCAGGGCTGGGGAGATAGCTCAGTGGTCTAAGTGCCTGCCTGGCAAGTACAAGGACCTGGGCTTGAGCCCCACTACTGCATGCTGTGCTGGCCCTGGAACTCCAGGTGCTCCATGCTGGCTACAGAAATTGGGCATGATGGCTCACGCCTGTAATCCACCAGTGCTGGGAAGGCTGAGACAGGAGGATCACTATGAGTCAGAACTGAGTAGTGAGACTACCCTGCACCAAATAAATAAATACATAAAATATTAAAAGGTTTAAATACATCAGCTCACTGTATCTTTACATCAACTCTGAGTCAGTTTTTTGTATTTGTATCTTTTTTTTTTTGGTGGAACCAGGGATTGAACCCAGGCCCTTGTGATTGCCAGGGAAGCGCTTATTCCACTGAGCCATCTCCCCGGCCCCGAGTATTTGTATCTTATGAATTAGAAAACTGAAGCTCAGTGGGTTAAGTAGCTTGTTCAAGATTAGCTGCTACCTAAGGGACAGCTGTTTGCATACCCCTCTTCTAACGGTACGGAGTACCACGACTTCCCTAGGTGTTTCGGAACCCACACTCCCATGGAAATGCCACATTTAGCTTTCATGAGAAGGAAGAAATTATAACACACTACTTATAAAAATAGGAGCTTATAAACATTACAAAATACTTCTATTTTTTAACAAAAGAGTGTAGAAATTTAGAAAAGAGCAGCAACAAATTGGTGATTACCCAATTAAACAGACTAGAGGATTTAAGCCTCCCTACCTTTGTTTAGTAACTCTTACTTCAAATCATTCCCAATACAGATACCTGGCCAAGTAAAACAGCATCGTCTTACAATTTTGTGGAGAGGCAAGAAATGGATTTTATAGTCACAACTTGCTTTAATGTTGACTCACCTTCAATGAATAAGGCGTCAAATCTCTCAGAACCTGTGTGTGTCCTTACTGACAGCACCTGGTCACTAGTTCTACATATCAACTGTCACCTGGCTCTTTTTCCTACTTATTCATCTACATTCTCCTAAAGCATAGAGATTCTTCTAGTCTCCTCATGCTTACTGCAGGAAAGAAATACATTTACAAAGCATTTACAAAGTACTTAGCAAATATCTGTGAAATGACTGAATATATGACTGTGACGACTGAAGCAGTACAAAAAACAGAGTCTGATTAATGAGGTATGTGTGTTAATGAGAAGAGGGGATGTAACAAACTTTGTTTTTCTCTTGCTTTTCATAATGATACCTTAACCAAATGCAGTATTCTGAGCAAAACACATGAGTCAAAGATTATAGTTCGAGAAAGGGAGAAGGCAGCACAGCAAGATGAAAGGATAAAACTGGCATTTTGGGGGCTGGTGAGATGGCTCAGTGGTCTAAGGCACCTACTTGGAACAAGCTTAGCAAAGCACAGGGACCGCGGTTCAATCCCCCAGCACCACATGCCAGCCAGCCGCGCCCCCTGGTGGGCTGAGCCGGCCACACACACACACACACACACACACACATAAATAAATAAAATAAAAATTAAAAAAAAAAAAACTGGCATTTTTACAGCCCATCACGATATGAGTACTGGCAATCCCGCTCTCTTGGCAGTACTT